TATTGAGTATGGCTAGCAATTATTATTGGTTCTCTGCATGTGGGTTCCATATAAGTGCATAAATTCCCTCAGCCACTGGAGGTATTTTGACCATTTTGTCATTTGGATGAGCTGCGGTTAGATTGAAATTCACACATCACTTCATTAAAAATTGTGCCTTAGAAAATGCAAAGCTGTTGCACACAGTATGAATTATGGATGCAGTACATTGAAGAGAGATGAAGTCACTTCCAAGTTCCCAAGACTTCTCCTGGAGGTATTTGCTGTTTTACAGGGAAAAATAAATAAAATTAAAAAAAAGAAAAATGGAAAACATTAACATGAAAAAAGTTTTGAAAATGTACAGATTAAGTTCAATATTTTGATTAACCACCTGCATGTTTTATTAAATATTTTGATAATGTGATGTTTACACTTTGCATGATATTAGCAGAGTACTTTACCAGAAACAATGCACAAAAACATGTACAATACGATCATTCATAACCGATTTTTATAGGATACTTTTTACATGTGGAACTCCATCCGTTATGTAGGGATTATATGAATATTGCACATTCTCTTCTGGTTTCACAGACCCATTTATACACATTTCTTAGTGAGACTCATTGTACATGTATTGAAGCTAGAATCGAGTCAAGAAAAATAAAGCCCATTCTCTGACTGCGAGATGTGCTTTCCCATAATGAACAATAGTCACCAGCACAGAATAATCTCCAACATTTTCTAAATTCTAATTGCCAACTGTTTCTATTTATATTTGATTTATATTTCATTTGGAGTCTGTTACATGGCAGCTCGGGCAGACTAGATCTTGTTTTTTCCAAGGCAGCATAATGAGTATGATCTATTTCTTTTCAAATAATCTTTGAGATCCCAGGGAGAAAAAATGCTCTGCTCTGTGGAGCTACTATGTAAATGTGTTTGCTTAAAAAAAAAAAAAAGATGATGCAAGTGAGTGATTTATTGTTCCCAAGGAAGTACGTCTGACTTTTTTTCTCATACTCCAAAAGCCAGTCCCTTCTCTTTCTTAAGAAAAAAATGGGTAACTGTTATTCACTAGCAAACTTTCATGCCATTTCCTCATTCTTTCTATGTAGTGGTATTAATGCAATACATATTCTAGTTATCTATACACAGTGTAAGACTTAACGAACTGAAATGATCCACCTCACGTGTGAGTCCGTCCAAAAGATGTTACTGTTCTGGGTGGGCCAATGTTCTGTATCAGTTACACTAACCTTCATTTAAAATATTTATTCTAAAATGCCTCTAAGAAATAGTAAAAAACAAATAAAAAGTTGTCTAAAATGCAACAGCTTTTATAGTAAATGTACATTTATAAATAAAATACTCAAATCAGCTTTGTATTCCATTGATGTTTTGTTTGTTTTTTGGAGAGGGGGGGCAGGTTGATTTTCTGACTTAGGGAAGAGAGAATCAAGCTTTCTACTATAGCTTTTGGTCCAAGGTTCCATAGTCAGATGATGGCAATGATGCATATTTGCATATGCATATTATGCATTTTTGAGGTCAACTCAGATTTACCAGCTAATTGCAGGAGTCACTAAGGAATTGCCGTCCACTGAAGGATTCAAACACTTTGAGATGAGGCACATAACCAGGAGAGACCAGGCAAATGCCAGTGGAAATGATCTGAAACAACCAAATGATGGTCACCTTCCAGCACTGGCTAGAGAAAACCAAGCCAAGCTCTTGAACGTGGCTGTGTTCTGCCACTTTCCCCAGCGCTGCCCCCAAGATTCCCCTCTCACTGTACTGTTTGTTTCTCAGGGGTCTTTTTCTTCGTTGTTGAACCAGGGAATAAATGTTGCAAAACAATGGCATCCTGTGACACAATTGCTTTCCAAAATACACTTGTAGACCTGGCCAGGTAGCTCAGTTGGTTAAAGCAAGTTGCAAGTTCAATCCCCAATCAGGGCAGTTGCAAGAATCAACCAATGAATGCATAAACAAGTGGGACAACAAATCAATGTTTCTTTTTATCTTTCTCTCCCCATCTCGCTAAAAAAAAAATCAATAAAATTTTTTTAAAAGAGGGAAAAGCAAATTGCACATGTATCTTTACTGGCACTCTGTCCCAAATTTGTAGGTGGTGGTGAGAGCAAGCAAGTTCCTTGGAAGTTTTTGTCACTTTATGATGCAATATGCCAATGGCCACTATGAGTTGTATTCTGCTTTTTTTGGCAACTTTTGGGAGCTAGTAGCTGCTACTATTTCCATAGAAAGGTGAATTCTTTGTCTTTCATAAAAGAGTTTTAGTAGCTACCAGAGTAGTTTAGTATATCTATTGTTATTTAAATGAAAGTTCACTTAATTATAATGCATTTCAAAACAAAGTATAAGAATGTTATTCTAACATGTGATCTACAAACAATTTCTTTATCAAAAGAAACATTTTACTAGCTCTCTTTTCATTGGCTTTCTTCAAGACCTAAAGGTGCTAATCTAGACCACAAAAGGATCCCTCCTCATCTTTTGGCATTAAGTCAGGGGTTGCAAACTCAAATGACTATAAGAACCAGTCAGGCATTGCAAATGAGAGCCAAAGGAGATAAAGAGCAGTATGAGCTACAGCAAACAAAGACGAGTTCTCCAGAAAGAATGGAAGCAGCAATGTGGCTTTAACCAATGGTCTTCATATGAAAGCTCCAGCTTTTTAAATGTTGACAACAATTTCAAACATTTCCTGACACAATGCCAGTCAAAATTGTGAAACTCCACAAAATATATCTGCAAGTCTAATTTCATTCTTAGGCCACCAGTTTACAACCTGTAGCTAAGTCTTCTCTTCATTTTATCAATCAGCTACTACTAACTTGCTCTGCTGTGAATCCTTTCATTTGACAAATATCTATATATATAAAAGCCTAAGCGACCGTCCGACTGTCTGACCGGTAGCTATAATGCACAATGACCACCAGGGGGCAGACGCTTTGACCGGTAGCTATGACATGCACTGACCACAGGAGGCAGATGCTCAATGCAGGAGTCGCTAAGCTGTGGTGACTTGGCAGCTGCGGTTCTCGGGTTGATTCACCCGGAACCAGAAAAAGAG